CTTCAAAAGCAAGATGACACATACTGCGTTTTTGTGTTCTAAGATGCAAGGAAGTTATTATTTATGAAAAAAGGCCTTCGCCTAAAGCAGCAACTGCTGATTTACTCGCAAATATTTAATATAATATTCTAGTTTTGCACATGAATTTAATTTACATCTTTGGATGGCTTATGCTTCCTAAAAGGGCCCTTTTATGTAAAATCAAGTTTTTTTCTGACATTCATAGCATGTTTTAATTTTGTTCCTTTATCATAAACATTTTATTCAGAATGCTTCATGCATGTTTGTGTAATCCTGTGTTCCTTTTTTGTGAGCTGAAAACGGCTCGATGTTCCTTGCCACGCCCATAGTTCTTATCTCCGCCCACTGACCAATCAGATTAATCACTAGTACAAATCATCTCTATGCAGATCGGGTGCACTGCTTGACCCGAAACTGAGAGCAGCAGACCCGCGAAAGTGTGTTTTCTGTCGATAAAAATGTAATAGATATTAGCGTTGGATGATGTCAAGCAATTTGGGCATCGACGATGTCCATAATATAACATCAAGATAACATCGTCCCAATCACCAACTTAGAATTGTTAACAGACCCAATGTTACTGAGAGCTTTGCTGCCTAATAAATGGTGACGCAGCAATATTAGCGGTTATGCTAATCAACCCCGCATTGCGCAAATCACCTGAATTCAGTTAATAATGTCATTGAAACACCATAAGAAAGAATAAACAAATTTTAGATTTCAAACCCCTACAATATTTGCATGAAATTGATCCACACTCATAAACATTATCTCAGGCAAACAGCATGAGAATGTCGTTAGCAAACACAGGTACTGAACTGCGTGAAGCGTGTTGTTATTTCTACACGTGATGAGAGCTACACAGAACTCTTCGATGCACATTTAGCTTTATTTGTGTCCCTTTCCAGCCCGGGTGACACACAGAAAACTGTATTTTAACAACTTCATGCCATCCTATTTGACTTGCAACTGGTGGCCTTTAAACACTACATTCCCCATGATTCCCGAGCTACAATTTTTAAAAAGGGTGTGGCAAAAGCACGGCTGGTAGTGGAACAGGGGTAAATGGTGCATTTTGCAGACGCAAAAAATATATAAGGAGACATGTTTTATGATTAATATTGCATTTAGAAAGTTAGCAGTGCAGTGCTAGTGTAGAGGGCTCAAATATTTATTATAACTACTTTAGAAATGGCATAATATGGTCCCTTTATAGATTTTTACGGTGTTACTGTTACATAAATATTTAAAAAGATATGATTTTATATATATAAAATAATGATAGGGATAAATAATAATTGTGGTCAATTCAGAATAATTGTGGTAAAGGTCTTACATTTTCAAACTACATTGAATCAACATCTGAATTATAATTATACGGTTTTGTAATAAAATAAGATGGACTTTTAATTCAAAACAAATGCATATTTATCAATATCATTTGCCCAGCATTTAAAGCTTATATGAATAAACAATTTAATTCATTTTAAATTCACACCAATGGAATAAACACTACGAAAGCAGCATAGAAAGAAACCATGCACTTCTGAATTCATAATTCAAAGCACACCCGAATCCAATTGCTGTTCAAAAGTTTGTAAATCGTGCATTTATAAAAAGGAACTACTGCTTCCATTTTAACTTGAATTAAGTTTAGGAAAGAAGTCCACTTGTTCCCAAATGAGCAAACACTAAATAATTGATAACACAGCATAAATAAAGCGACCCCTTTTTCAAAACAATCAGTGGGATGTTAATTTAAAAGTACATAGTCTTCAAGAACCGCTACTTCAGGGGGTGATAGGGCTGTTATGGCCACCAAGAGAAGCCTGTCCTAATTTCACACTGACCTGATTACACTGTATAGCTCAGCTTTCAGCTCAAAGCACTGAGGAGCTTTCTAACAAAATGAGAATAAGCATGTCACCTCATGCAGCAAACAACCCAAATATGTTTAGAGTTCTTTTGAAAACTTTTCTTGATGGATTTTGTTTCCCATTGTCTTTGTTTAACCGATTTGACCTCCACATGAACTGCAAGCCAGTTTGGCTAATGAATGTAGTATTTGCAGGCATGAGTGTAGTCTACGTACAGACATTATACGGTCCGTAAACTTGGTGAGCTCATGGTTTGTGCTCCTGAGGCAGTTTGATCTGATGCTGATGCTGTAGATCTCACATGGCAGCATAGAAACTTACACTGAAGCCAACAGAATGAAACAAAATACCTCGGAGAAGGGGATTTTTCGGCAGGATCTCTCACAGTGACTACATTAGTTTCAACAATAAACTAATGTCCCCAAAATAAGGTTAGTCGTCTTGATTTTGATGTTCAATGTCTTTTTCATAAGGCAAGACAAAGGATATGGACAAATGGAAACAAAAAAACTGAATCTTTGAAATAGATTTTTTATGGTTTATTTCAAATAATACAGAACGACTATTAAAGGTTGTATCGGTTCGTTAAATTCGTTAAAAGCATGAGATGAAACATGAAAAGGTATTTTTTTTTATGTAGATGTCTTCATCATCTGATGATTTTTTTTTTTATCAGTTTCACCAGCTTTTGAAACAAAGAGACAAAAAGCAGAGCGGAAATTCTAGCACCTCCTTGTTTCGAAATGCAACCTCTAGTCTTGCTGATATTGCATAGCATAACTTTAACAATCTCTTTCAATACATGAGATCATTCAATAAAGGGACAGATGGGTAAATTCACGACAATAATCATGAAAGCCGTTATTGATTATTAGTCGATCGGGCAATGGAGGTTGCAGAAGCGTCTGCAGGAAAGAGTGTGGGAGTATTTTACTTTCACATAGTGTATTATTGTATGTCAGTGTATTTTTTAATATATACATTGTTTTGCTTTTTCTGTATTTATTTATATTTTGGATACTTTGAGAAGATTTACTGTTTAAAAACAAACTTTGTTTTTATTTAAGGTTTAAAATTAACGTTTTAAATTAAAGATCAAAGATTAAAGATTTTATTAGTTTGACCCTGATTTATGGTTTTAAGCAAAACATCAAATTAACGAAGAGATTCGTTTTTATCCGATTAACTGGAAAAATTATCATAAAAATCGTTTGTTGCAGCCCTAGTGGACAGTTTGATGAATAGACGATCATTCGATAAATGGATGGACAGATGAGGAGATTGTTTGGGAAATGGATGAATCGTATGATGAATGGAAGGATGGACAGACGAGTGGAATTATATGGATGAAATGAGAGGAAAGTTTTATTAGCCTTATTCCATATCATTCAAGTTAAAAGCTACGGTGGCCCATGAGTGCACAACACAAATGCAAAACAACTTTGTGCAAATATCAAAAACACTACTTCAAATAAAAAACACGCTGCAAATTAACAACAGAATAAAACCTCTTTTGTGTTTTTGATTAGTGGCAACATGGAATATCTTTTTTATACTACTAGTTCACACTGTGTTTGAAGGATATGTTTGAAATTTGGAACACTTTTTTAAGAGATCAAGACCTACAAAAAAAAAAAAAAGTCCATTGGAACAAGTTTTCAAAACCGACAAAAGATCAGTTACTTTTTAATTTGGTTATTTAAATATTACATTTAGTACAGTTCTAAGCCTTTGACTAACAAACTCCTCCTACAGATCAAATAAATACACAGCTAAAGTATTTTATAATCTTCCATATTTCTACTCACCCAGTGTGAAACCAATTAGACCAGACTGATTTGTATGCAAAAGAATATCTGGCTAAAGTCTTCATAGAGAAAAACGGCGTTAAATGTAAATAAATGAAAATTCAATTTTAGAGCTTATCTGAAGATGAAAGACAAAACATAACCAGCCTCATGGAAAACGACTGAGTAAACATTTATAAGGGCGCTACAATCAGCTCTTCCAAATAGAAGGTTCACCCCCTCTGCATTTTCATTTGTCCAATGAGGAGCGGTTTGCTCCAAGTTGATTGTAAATCAGCCAACCAATTGCAGAGCCACTACTGCTAATAAAAACAACCTATAAGGAGCCAGATCATTTAAGCCCCGCCTCCATGTGAGAAAAGGTCACTGTAACAGAATTTTTTTTTAAGCTATTTTAAAAAAGTTTTCTGTGGGGCGAACAAGAACAGTTTGAAATAATTTATTTGCTGTCAAAACAGTAAAAATACATTTTAATTATTTTAATAAATGTTTTTATATGCACATTTAACGCTGTTTTACAAAACACAAACATCAATGTATTTTTTTTAAACAGCTCTTTATTTTAATCCCAGACACCACGATGAGATTAAAAGAGCTGGTAGAAGAGCTTTCAAGTGAAAAACATTCAAAACAATTGTAAACATGACCCGTTTTAATTTTGCTCAACAGTTTACTTTGTGAGCAGACACAGTATAAAAGTGCACACATTCAACTTCCAGCATCAGAAAGAGACAAGAGTGAGTTTAGCATTTCTCCCAGATGAACATGTGCCGGATGAAATGAAGACAAGGATCAGTGCTTCAGCAGTCAAAAGCTGTAATGATCATGTTTTGCGAAAGAGACAAAATCTCAACGCATCAATCAATCAGGGCATTCCTACGCAGGCTTTCCAGTGAAAGACACCGAGTGACTGTGCCAGAGTATTTTAGGCACTGGTTGCTGAAAAGAGCTTGAATGAATCATGAACGAGTGAGAAGTGACTCATAACAATAAGGGAAGAGACAACCGTGACACGAAAAAAACAAGATGGAACTCTTATAAGCCTACAAAAGACATCTCTAAACATTGGTCTGAAGAAAAATGTGTTTATACTTTGCTGGAGTAATTTAATAAAAAGTACTTTCAATGAAATCACATCAGAAACTCAATGCTGCATAAAAAGCATAACCTAGAACACACTGCTGAGCCAAACACATGCCTCTCGAGATTGTGAACATTAACATTTATGCATTTGGCAGATGCTTTTATCCAAAGTGACTTACATCTGAAAGAATGAACATGTTTTGTCAGTTCTTGCTTTCCCCGGGTTTGGAACCCACAACCTTTGCGTACTTAGCGCAATGCTCTAGCAACTGAGCCACAGGAAAACTAGCAAAGCATGCTACTCATGTAATGCCATGTCAAACAAAGCCTAAGCATCCTTTCTGAGCAGAAGATGGTATCATGTATTATCATGAATAATACATTTCTAAACAAAGGGCATGAATATTTGTATTTAAATGTTGTTAATTTATTGTCGATCTGTGGTGAGATCTGTGGCACTGGTGTCACTCCCCTGATTTTTGCCACATACACACGCACGCACACACGGTGAACCAATCAGTGCCTGTGGGTACTTGACACTGGTCTTCAGGCATTTTGGCATTTCCCTCTCCCCAGTCTTCCTCCAGACTCTGGCACCTTGATTTCAGAACGACATGCAAAGTTTAAGCAACAGTCCAGTGCTGCTTCTCTGCAGCCGAGGTCAGGCACTTCTGCCGCTGTTTCTGGTTCAAAGTGGCTTGACCTGGGGAATGCGGCACCTGTAGTCCATTTCCTGCACACGCCTGTAGACGGTGGCTCTGGACGTTTCTACTCCAGACTCAGTCCACTGGTTCCGCAGGTCCCCAATGTCTGGAATCTGTCCTTCACAATCTTTCTCAGGGTCCGGTCTCCTCTTCTCGTTGTGCAGCGTTTTCTGCCACACTTCTTCCCTCCCACAGACTTCCCACTGTGGCGCCTTGTTACAGCACTCTGGGAACAGGTGGTTCGTTCAGAAATTTCTTTCTGTGTCTTACCCTCCTGCTTGAGGGTGTCAGTGATGGTCTTCTGGACAGCAGTCTTACCCATGATTGCGGTTTTGAATAATGAACCAGGCTGGGAGTTTTTAAAGCCTCAGGAATCTTCTGCAGGTGTTTAGAGTTTATTAGTTGATTCAGAGGATTAGGTTAAAAGATCCTTTAGAGAACCTTTTCATGATATGCAAATTTTTTTGCTGTATGCCAAGATCATCAATATTAAAACAATAAAAGGCTGGAACAACTTCAGTTGTGTGTAATGATTTTAAAATATATGAAAGCCAAATGTTTATCAGTACTTTACAGAAAATAATGAACTTTTTTTAGAAGGTCGTATATGGCAAAAGCGAGGGGCAGAAGCTGAGCCGCACACATTCTACCAAAGGTCAGGAGGTGAGCATGCATTCTACAGATACAGGACAGCATTGGCAGATAACATTTTCATTTAAGTGCATCGATGTTCACCACAGAGTCGAGTTAATCGATAAAAGCAATTTATAGCCAATCCCAAATGTGCTGGTTTCACTGGCACGTCAGATTTACCCGCCCAACACAAACATTGAACACGTTTACCACAAAATCAACAGCGTAAATTATCTTTTTCGCTCCAAGGTCTATTTTACTGGTTGTGGCAGGCGACTCACGTCAGACCAATCACAATGCAGCTTGTTGGTAGGCTATGACATTTTGTAAACATTGAAGATGGTGGCAAAATTAATCCATTTTGTGCCTGCAAGAAGCGTATTGTATGTCAAAAATGACAAGCACTACAAGAATAATGACTTGATGGAGAATCTGTGAAGGATCTGAAAGCAGTGTGTGAGACAGGAAACTTATTGAATGAAAAACACATTTTTTCGACTACTATCATTATGTTTTCGGCTGAAGTTATCTATATGTTGAAACAAAGTATGAGCTGTTTATAATGCTAGTACGTATTTTTGATGCACAATTATGCCAGCATGTTTATTAAAACCGTTGTGAATCCGTATCAGTTCTATAATCCATTTATACGGGTAGCACATATTTGTCTGATATTTTAAGTGAAACAACATTTTGTGAGGTCTCTTATATGACAAAACTATTAATTAGATAACATGTTTTAAGTATTGCTGTGTTGGTTGTTACTCATCTTTTTTTTTTGGTTAAGATTTGGAGTGGAAAGGCAGGTGGAAACACCCATCCCCCCCAATCACCGAAAAAAAAGAATATTTTAAAATATTCGCCTTTTTGTATTGTTCTCACTGTATAAAGGCCTTAAGTCATTGAATTAATTAACAAAGTAAAAATAAACTGTTATTTCAGAAAAAATGGAAAATTGAATTGACATGGAAAATTCTACATTTAAAAAACTAATTAAATTAACTATTGTACAGACATTCGCCTGGTTTTTACAATAAAATTATTTATTTTCTTTAAATAGCAGAATGCAACACTGAAGGACAGCTCAAAGTTGAGCTAAAGTTCACTGACGTCATTTCAATCGAGGCTTCCTAAAATAAACCCAGGTATTTTAATCCACTGGGAATAACCTTTTCCCTCTATCTCTCTGTTTTCTAGGATGTCGTCTTGTTCTCTCTGATTTCAGCAGAACAACTGGCATCCCGTCTCACCTGAGGCGCCTTCACTCACTCTGCAGCAGGAGGAGAAACCCCTTTTGTGATCATGTTACACAGATAATGTAAAAAGAATTCCACATAAATACAAAGTTTAGTGTTTTGTTGAATCCACATGTTGTGTGTTTACTGTTCCTGAGCTCTGTTAGATTTTCCTGAGTCAGCTTCAGACAGAGGATAAGCGTCACAACTCGTCTTCCATACGTCACTGGAAACAGAGATTTATTTCACATTGCAGCCATATAATTCTACATGTTAGAAATGCCACAAAAAGTGCTGTAAAGAGCACTTAATTTCCAATAGATTTAAAGGTAATTTGGACCACAGGTGTCAAAACTACTTTTCAATTGTCGTAACGTGTAGCGATGTCACAAAACTCATACCATACACGTCATCGGTTCATTAAATGCGTGTGAACCGCACATTTCTGGAGCAAATAGTGAACTGTATGTTAATCAGTTGGTAATCCAATCAGTGAACTGCTCCCTGAGTAAATATGCAATCAGTGAGCGCTAAAATTAGGAGGGCGGGACTTTTCGTGTTTCACTATAAGCGTGGCCAAAGAATGGTGAACAAACATGTCACTGTGTACAAGCCAGTTTTATCAGGTGTAATTCTGCAAACACACATCTGTGCCGTCTGCCTTGAACCATCTGCAAGTGGATTCGAGCGAGGCACACACAGTGAGAGACCCTCGGTGAACATTTAACCAGTTATGCCAGAGACAAAATAAGTTATGTTTCACTAGTACATACAAAGTACTGTGCTCCAGTTTTCTTTATAGTGTTTATTTTCTTGTTTATTTAAAGGGTCTTTTTTTGAAGATTTGGTTTAGCAAATAAAGTGAATTGTATCAAACAAGTATTTTTTTTTTTCATTTTATACAAATGATTTTTAAAAAAAAGACTTCTTTGCTGAGCCATCAGAAGCACACCATGGTTAAAAACAAAAGTACATACTGAGCTTTGTGTAGGCACCACAAAAGATGCAGCAGGATTTTTTTTTTTATGTCACCAAAATAAATCCAATTAAGCAAACAAAGATATTTGCAAAAGAAATACTGGCTCTATTTACAGAAATATATGAAGTTATACGTCAGTCAAATGTTTCAAAAGTCCATCACTCACAAGATTTAATGCCCGTAGCACTGAGCAGAGTTGAGGTGCCCCAAGCACCGAGAAAGAATTGTCCATTAACAAATTAAGTGTTGCCGTGCTTTAGCGTGAGTTTAATCTTACCCCACTTATATCTTGTTAACTCACTGGTAAGCAGTTCATCTGTAGTTTTAAGTACAAGAATGCTAATGTGACCTTACACACCAGACGAGAAAAAGTTGCAACAGTTACATCGATGCATGATTTTTCAAGAAACACAGATTTAAAAATGCTACTTCTGTTACTGTCCCTCCCTCCCTCCCTCCCTCCCTCCCTCCT